GTATGAATGTGTGTGTGTGTGTGTGTGTGTATGCTATACGTACCTTTCTGAGTTTATTTCTGAGTTCTTCCTCATCCTCACTATCCTTGATAGTGTCTGNGGTTTTTACACTACCACCCCACCAGCCAGAAAACCAACCACCTATGCACAGCCAGTGAGGAGATAGATGTGTGCGTTAGAATACTATGCATGGGAGTGTGAGGATTGTGTTGCTATATGGAGAGTAGGTGTATATCTATAAACTCGTAAGCCTGCATGACGTAATATATGTATGTATGTATGTATGTATGTATATATGTATGTATGTATGTATGTATGTATGTATGTATGTATGTATGTATGTATGTATGTATGTATGTATGTATGTATGTATGTATGTATGTATGTATGTATGTATGTATGTATGTATGTATGTATGTCTGTACATATGTATGTATTATGTATGTATGTATGTATGCATATGTATATATGTATCTAGATATATATGCATGGATGAATATATGTATATGTATGTATGTGTAGGCTACAGAGTACATAAATGCATCTATGAAATGCTCTAATCTACTCCTCGGGCGATGAAATCGACCACCGAAGTGCATACTACAATATGTATAGGTGTTTTAGTATAGTACAGTATATATAGGTGTATGCGTTTACCAACGTATGTATATGTGTATGCGAATACCACAGTCTGTATAGGTATTTTTGAATAGTATATATAGGTATATATAGTATAGTATATATAGTATATATAGTATATATAGTAAAGTATATATAGGTGTATTCGTATTAACAGTATACATAGGTATATGGGTCAATAAAATACATGAGCTTATATTTCGTATCTATGTACATATTTGGATCAAGGTTTATATACCCATAAAACCAGCCTAATATATACATACCTACCTACATACCTACATAAATACATACATACCTATATACATACAAAAAACTAAAACCCAGCTCATGACTATTCTCACATCACCACCCCCTTGTCTCAGTACACACCCTGGTTGCTAGCCGCTTGCTTAGCAACCGTTTTCTGCTCCACCACTTTACTCGCATAAGTGCGCAGCGCCAATTTCCGATATAAAATCAGGTCCGGGATTTCTAATCCCGATTCTAGTTCGCGCAGGCGTCCTAATTGCTGCTTCTCAAACACACTGTTGGTTGGGGCTCCGGTATCTCCGCGTTCTTGCAGTAGCACTACATACAGAGAGATATACTCACGCCGCAGAGAGGAATAGGCCTTGATATCTTCCCACCTAGGAATGTATAGGGTAGGATGTAGGTTGTGAGTAACAGATAGTACGGGTGTATGTACGTATGTAATACATGGGTATGTATATGTATGAAGATATGTATGTAGGTATGTATGTATGTATGTATGTAATTACGTATGCATGAAGGTAGGTACGTATGAATGTGTGTATTACTTGCGTGTATGTATGTAAGTAAGTATGTATGTATGTATGTATGTATGTATACATGTTTGTGTGCATGTATGGATATATATGTATGCATGAACGTTTTTATATATGTAAATGCATATATATAATATATATATATATATATATATATATATATAACGAGAGAGATACGGAGAGAGAGAGTGTGTGTGTGTATAATTATACAAATATATATATACATATATATATATATAAACATTTATATATTTACATA